TTTTCCATTTTCTTCCCAGTTCTTTAAGATCTACTCGACCAAACTGAAACAAACTCCTAAGGGTAGCTTCGGCAGAAGCAACGGCAATCCTTTTCTCTTCCGTCTTCTGCAAATCTTGTCTTTGCAGATCTCTCGAGAATCTCCGTACGAGCGAATGAGACGATAAGAACTGGGGTGTAAATGTCACACTTCTGGGAGAAGGATGACACGTCAGATCACCATTACGCAAAGGCAACAAGAAGGTTTCCCAAGACCATTCCATGGTAAAATTGGCGCGTACCACTCAGATTGATATCTTGGTGATAAAATTCAGATACCAAGCTCTTAGTCAATCAGCCGGTTGCTTGCTTGATCGATTAACATCCGGCTCCCAGCTGAATATACTGAAAGAAACAGCTTATTTACAGCGATGTAAAGCAGTGAATGAACGAGTAGAAATGGCACACTTCCGCACGAGGTGAAACGAAAATGGAAGCGCTATCATAAGCTTTTACGCAAACCCGATATGACGTCAGAGATTCAGACCCCTATCATAACTTGATCCCAAGCCTCCACAATTTTTCTTACATTAACAATTTATTTCCTTTTTTGTCGATAAAATAAAAAACATTGCAAACAAATATTAGCTAGCAGTCAATGAATTTATCATTTTTTTCATCAGTCTCTTTCAACGCGTATGAAGCATGAAAGATATGAGAAACAGAAACTGTTCAACACTTTTGACAATCTACAAGTTCAAAGCTTTTGATCACTTGTCTTTTGATGGTACCTAATTAGGCTAACCATGTTCACTTATGGACACTAGCTTGCTCACATTAATATAAAGAAAATTTCAAAAAAAGTTAGATTGAGAGTTGACTCTCTAAAGTAAGTTATGGAACTCTTAGATAATCGGTCGCTTGAACGTTCTACGAAGGCTAAAAACAGAAGGGTACCCACTTTCCTAATCATACAACTAAAGATGTAAAGTGTTGCTTCTCACTGTCATTCAAAGATATCTCGAAAAAATCTATAAAATTTCATGCCGTTATATATTCTTTTTCACAATAAATTGGCCTTTTCAGTAGCCTGATTTCGTCCACTTTCCCCCAAACCGTCTTTCCGTTGCCAAGTTCGACTCCATACCAAGAGTAATATTTCTGCGTCACTTTGCCTTGGGAAAAACCGACGTTATCCTTGGAAGCTACGATGACATCCGATCCAATTTTTATCTCTTGTGGACTGGATTTTTCATCTTTGATCACGTAAAATTCCTTTTTTCGTGGTAATTCAAAGATGCTGTCGGCGTTTCCACCATGTTTACCCGAGGGAGATATATGGACGCTTGTTCGGTGAACCTTTGTGACGTAGCCATGAATGTAGCGCGTATGTTTCTTGATGGAATTCCAGTGAGCAAATACTTCAGAACCGAAGGTAAGACATTCTGAAGAAGGACAATGATACGAAAATTAAGCAATGTGAGGATGTTGGTGATACACATTTCTCTCATTTTTTTACGACCTAATAATATCGGTTCAAGAGGTTCTCAAGCGTAACATAAGTAATAAGATAGCTGGAGATACTTAATGCTTACAAGCATCGGTGCATTAGTGACTATGGTAAAGCTTTACCGACGTTTTTCTAAGTTGTCGCCGGCTATAGTGTTCCCTTCGCGTTTACTCTCTTAACCCATTTCATCTGATTTAAATTTCTTGTTTACGGTCGCCTTTTCCTGCTGGAACTGCTCTTAACACATTACAGCGTTAAGCCAGAAACTAAAAATAGCAATAACATATTCACCTGTGTCGAATGAACATCCATACACCTCAGCCCTCAAGCACACAGTGGATCCCATGAAGTCTCGTGAGTTTTCATGGCGTACTATTCTTAATTTCTTAGCCACCAGCCGTTCCTTTAAATAGTGTCTCACAGCACTCCTGCCATCCCTGTTTCCTTTGAATACCTTGCCATGAGGGAAAAAAATGTCAAAAGCAAATTTATAGACCATTCAATTTTATTCTCGCTGTAATAGGACTAAGACTCGATCAGAAATATTTCATTCTAATTATATAGCTCCTCATAAAAACCTCGACATACTGCAAGATATCATCTTCCAGAAAAAATTTAGCAGCGAAACAAAGCAAGTATAACAGATGCTGTATTACTTTATCACGGCCTGATGCTTGGTAAGTGAACCAATTCTTCCCCAGTGAATATCTCAATATATATCTCTGGATCCATTTTTCTTCTCTCGGGTGTCCTTGAGTAGCAACAGAAGTCACCTCAACGGTGCGGCCGAAATCGATCTGCAAAAGAGAGGATTACGGTCGGACTATTGTCTTTGAGTGAAGGGACATTCCCGTGACCAGAAAAAGTGTCCGTTCACAAAAGATGTCCGCGCATATAAAAGCTAACTAAAAGGGTTCATAAGGGATTGGGAACGGGTCTTGGTGCAAGCTTTCAAGAAGTTTCCGCCCCCGTGCATTGTCCCTTGGTGAAGGCTGCGCCGTATTTTCCAATTAAAAAATACATCGTCACAGTATATTGGGTCATTTTTACAGAAAAAGAAGCGGTTGATTTTTTCAACATAAAACCTTACCATGACGGTTTGCCGGGAAAGACAATCACCACAGGGTAAAAGAGAAGCAGGAAGGAGTAAGGATGGATAAGAGTGACTTGAATGGTAGGAATGCTTAAATGTGTCCCCATGCACGAACCAAAAGTGACTCCTTCACGTTCAGTTTGGCATTCGTTCTGTAAAACGCATGCCGCTCTTAACCTGTTAGTAGAAATGTACCCTTGCCTCACAAAAATATGCTCACAAAGATAAGCGGCGGCTAAGTTTAGAAAACATTTTTACGAACCTGAAAATATTTTGCGAAGCTGCTTCTCGCAGAACACCAAGCGCTGTTACCATCTAGACGGCCATGTCGGGCGGAGTGTCGCGAATCTCGCTCTGATGACGCTGACAACTGGCGGCTGAAGATCATTCTGCTCTTTAAACCAAGAGGTTTGGAACATCCTAACCATACCAGAGATTATTTTAAAATGAAGTTACTGCGGGCATTGATGGAAATAAAAATGGAAGTGACCGCAATGCCCTTTCAAGGTGAAGAAAAGGCTTTTTACGGGGAGCATGTCTGGGATTTAGTCATAGAACGCAGTAATACCAGGTAAATACAAACGACAACGAGAACAAACGGAAAAAGTTACAAGGAGTCACTAAAATCTCAAAGCAAATGTATGAAACCAGCCGTTAATTTAGCATCTGATTTTTTTTGTAGGAATGCTGCAAGTTCCTAAAACTAGTTAAAGAGCGAGTGAACCTAACACAATACAATTTCGAGTTATTTTAAACACAATAAAATGCCGTCCATTCAGAAGAGGCAACCTTCATGAAGACTAATAACCAACACGTTTTGTGCTCTGAAAGACCAATTTCAACATCCAAACAAGAACGCTTCATCATTTAACGAATGCAGCAATCCATCCACGCTGCCATTACAACAAAAATAATCTCATAGCCCGACAGCAGGTGTTAAAACAACGGGGTCCCTATGAAACATTTCTTGTGAGGATTACTGGATTCGTTACTCAAGGATTGGGACGTGAAGAATGAGCACTAAACAATAACAATTAACGTACCCGTACACGTGGGTGCTG